CGCAGAGGACAGGTGACATGATGCAATGCTGGCTGGCAACGTGGCCTGCGATGCAGGCGGATAGCTGGTCCAGTCCTCCTCTCTTGCCCATCTGTAGACACCGGCGCCTTTGAACGTGTGGCCATTAAGCAGCACGAGCGCCTGCGATGTCGCAATTGCCATGCGTGTCCGCTGCGCCTGCAAGGACCCGAGCACAGAGGACGATGCCGTATGCACGCTGTCGTGTGTCGCTCCTCCAACCATCTGCAGGTACTCCTGCATGGCACGGGACGAGCGCTGCTGCTCATCATCCACGCCATGGCCACGTTGCTGCTGTTGTTGCTGTTGGAGTGGAGCCGCATCATCGTACATGATGCGACCGATGGCAAGGATGGTCATGTCATCGTCAAGTAAGTCGTCGCTCACGCCCTGGCACTCAAGCCCACCACTGACACCACCTACACTGCCTTTGCTGTTGCTCTCGTTTCCAACACGTCCAACACCATCCGCCACCGTGACCGCGCCACCCTCATGACTCGCCGTGGACTGGCTTCGCTTCCACGCCGCAAGCGCGGGCGCACTCGTCTCGCTCGACACAACTGTTGGTGCTGCGGTTTGGGTAGAGGCGACACCAAACGTGTCCACGGCCTCCTCCGCTGTTGCCTCACGCGTCAGGCCCCAGCGCCCGGGGACATGCCGCCTCTGCTGCGGTTGTAATCCGGGCGCCATGGCCGGGACTGGAGGAGGTGCAGGTGTCGGACCTGTTGCTGCGGTGCGGGCGAGTGTTGCTGTCTGCAGCAGCTTGGTTGCGAGTCGCTTGCAGTCCACGGTGGCGATGCGGCGGCACACGCCTGTCGGCTCCAGCTGGAACACGTGCAGCGACCCATCTGATGCGCCAAGGAACAAGCGGTACCCCTCCGTGTCAAAGCAAGCGGCCGTGAACGGCGCAGGCGTTTCGTACTGCGACTGGAACAGCAGAGACTTCCTGGCCACGTCCCACACCTTGAAGCGGCGATCGTCGTCGGCAGAGACGAGGAAGGCCGGGTGTGCCAGCCCAAAGGCCGCGCTTGTGACCATGCCAGCATGGCCCTCGAGCACGCAGGTGATGGTGCTGTCGGATGGGGAAGCGATGTAGATGAGGGAGCCCACGCACAGGGCGAGGAACTGGTTGGTTGGGTTGAAGGCGATGTGGTGCGGCGTGTCTGGGGGTGCGTCGAGGAGGCGGGCGCAGGAGCCGTCCGCCAGACCCCACAGAAGCACGGCATCGTCAGACGCGGTGCAGAGCAGGCGACAGGGGGAGCCGTGGCTGAACGCAGACGCGGTCACCTTGCTGCTGTGGCCGGTGAGGGTGGCGATGCGCTGTGCCGCCTCTAAAGGTGGCGTGTGCTTGCTGCAGCTGGCACAAGCAACCGCTGCCAATCGCCACAGCTATGTTAGGGTTGCTGATTTGCTGTTTCTTCTCCCATGCCTTGGGTTGCTTTTTTTTTTTTGTGTGTGTGTGTATTTGACATGAAAACGACGAAAAGTGCATGGACATGGAGCGTGGAAACCTGTGTGCGTGCGTGCGTGCGTGTGTGTGTGTGTGTGTGTGTGTGTGTGTGTGTGTGTGTGTGTGTGTGTGTGTGTGTGTGTGTGTGTGGTACTTCACAGCTCCCTGCCAATTGTGTATCACATGTGATAGTGGCTTTGTATGTGCGACAGAGCAGAGAGCGCACTGCACTACACGCTTGCATGCAAGCACACCCAATCCCTATCTCCAAACAAGATAAGCAAGCAGGAACAGCAACGAGAACGTCGTGTTTGGGTTGACAGTTTATGGTCCCGAAGGGCGAGCGAGACGGTCAACAGAGTAGAGTGCATGGTCTCTCACATGGAACAGCAACAACTACTTGACAACGGGGGTAGGTGAATGAATGATACAGTGACACAGCACATCAACAGTCAGCAGAACATGGTTCTATCAGGGGCTAGATATGTACAACTGTACAAGGACAGGCAGGTATCGACAGGAAGAAGCGAGTGGTTGTGAGCAAAAGAACTCACTTGCGGCGGAAGGGAGGAAAGTGAAGACAATGACGAAGATGAGGACAAACTCAATCACCAAGAACACACAACAACACTCGTGCACTGCAAACAGGCAAGCGAGACTGAGGCCTGTGGACAATGCAATGGCACCAACCAAACGTACGCATCACAGGGACACGCAAGTCAATAGGTCATCAACACACACACACACACACATCGAGGGTGAGCGCAAGTTCAGCAGTGGTGACCCCGTGACGTGCACCTGACACACACACACACACACACACACACACACACACACACACACACACACACACACACACACACACACACACACACCAAACTCACTTACGCGCAGGCGTGCTACAAGACGATAATCTCGGCCTGTGTGTCTGGGGATGACGGGTGCGACGGAAGCGAGGTTGAGCGCGATAACTGGCGGTGGCTCGCGTGCGATGACGGACGGCTTGTCTGTGGTCCGATCAGCTCACCTCCAGCAGTTCCAGTCGCCGCTGCCGAGGTTGCAACCGCACTTTCCCTTGCATCGCCATCACCACGATCACCGCCACCACCACCACCGTCGTCGCGGTGACCGCCCCTGCGCCGTGCGCCTGCCGCTGATGAGGGCTTGGAGCCGTCTCCAACAGCATGTGTTGTGGCGCTTGCGTTTGTTGCAGCGGTTGGGTTGGAGGCATCACCGCGACCAACACGACTCCCGCTTGCACTCGTGTTCTTGTCACGGCGGTGGTGCTGACCCCGCTTCAGTGCCGCCTTTGATGCGCGCCTGCCGCTCGGCTGCTCTGGGTACGTGGCGCCTGGCATGGGGAAGTTGCCCGAAAGCGTGGAGAAGTCTTCAAGGAAGGACGAGTCCTGTGACGATTCAAACGCCCGGCACAAGCTCTCAAACGTGTCGTCAATCGACTGCTCCGCGTCAATCTGATTGTGTGTGTGTGTGTGTGTGTGTGTGTGTGTGTGTGTGTGTGTGTGTGTGTGTGTGTGTGTGCGCGCGCGCAGAGAACGAGGTGAGTACGCCAATGTCCAACTCAATTCAAGCAAGGGCTTGTCTTCACTGCAGTTCATGTAGACAGTCATACTGCATGCGCGAAGCAAACAGCGTGCAAGCCAACGAGCCGGGAGCTAATCGGCGTAAACCAAGCTTGCTTGCTTGCAGGCAAGGCCAACCAGCGGGCGTACCTCGTGCAAATGCGATTGGAAATAATCACGCAATGCAACCTTGTTCTCCTGCCATCTTCGCAGCAGGTCGTCATTGAACTGCAGTTGTGTTTCAAGGCAGGAAGAATAGCGCGCACGCGTGAGAAGGCAGCAGCAAAGTGGACGGCGGCAGTGACCTCGTAATGCGCAAAACAACAACAACAACAACAACAACAACAACAACAACAACAACAACAACAACAACAACTTAAACAACAACAACAACAACAACAACAACAACAACAACTTAAACAACAACTTAAACAACAACAACCTAAACAACAACTTAAACAACAACCTAAACAACAACTTAAACAACAACAACAACTTAAACAACAACAACAACAACAACAACAACAACTTAAACAACAACAACTTCAACAACAACAATGCAACGCACACCACCATCATCATGCCATGTCCGTACCTCATCCAGCACTTCTGGCGGCTGCGAGGAGACGCTGGCGTGCGGCATGTCCTCCGGGGAGAGCGAGTGCCGGCGTGAGGGCGACTTTGCCTTTCGCCACTTCTTCTTCGTCGCTGTCGGGGTGGATGCCTTGATTTCACGCAGGAGCCCTTGGAAGAACAGCGAGTTGCGCGACGCCACGTGGCTAAGCTCCCGCCGCCCGCTGCTGTCCTCAGATGAGCGGCGCAGGCGCGTGCGACGCGGTCGGTTGTCCGTGTCCATGCTGCGACTCTTCACTAGCGCAGACACGTTGGGTCGCAGCTGTGACGAGCTTGAGATGCGGCTGACACTGCTCCCAACACCGTCCTGTTCCTGCGTGCTCCTGCTCTCCACCACTTGCTCCAACGCCTCTGTCTGCACCCCGCTAACACCGTGGCCGCCGTGGCCAACACCGCTGCTGCCATGCGGCTCCTCGTGCACGCGTCCTTCCAAGTCCTCAATCTCAATCGACACGCTGTGCTTCGGTTGTCGCTGCAGGAACCCCCGCTTCCCATCGCCGCTGCTGCCCCGCTCTGACCGTCCGTGACCCTTGTGACCACCGCCAGTGTTGCTGCCGTGTTGGCTGCGAGTGTTGATGGACTCTGCAGTTGACAGCGTGGCGGGCGACTCGTCATTGACACTTGTGCCGGCGGTAGTTGTCGTTGTGGGTGGGCTGGTCCTTGTAGTCGCTGTTGCTGGCGCTGTGTACGGCAGCATTGGTGGTCTGCCGTCGCTGCTGTGCCCGTTCTTCTTTACCACCACGCGGCTGGCGCCATGGCTGCCTCGTGCGCTGTTGCTGCCAATCGCTGTTTCTGCAATGGTGGGCGGCGCTGCGTGTGTGGATCGTACGCGTGATTTCGAGGGCTGGTGTCCATCATGCTCACCACCAGAAGCAGCTGTCGTTATTGTTTCTGCTGTTGCGTCACCACCATCACCGCCACCTTCATCCTCCTCTCGGATCGACTCTGGTTGGCCATTAATCAGCATGGAAGTGGACCGCTCATGCGCCACATCAACACCCGTTGCCTCCATGCGCTGTGCCCACCTCCCAACACCAGTGCCAACCGCCTTGTCCCTGCTGCTCCTCTTCCTCCTCCCGTTGCCGTTGTCCGCGTCATTGTTGTCTTCAAGCGACGCTGATGGCGATTCTGCGGAGAGAAGCGACTCGCGTCCTTGCAAGTGCGACTGCCCGTGTCCACCGCCAACACCCCGCGCACGCGGCTGCTCTGTTGTTGCGTGCGGGGACGAAGGCTGCGACTGCAGGCGCGGGCCTAGCAGGGCGCGAATGCCAAACACTACCGACCTGTCCATCTGGAACAGCCGCTCCTCAAGCAATTCGTCGCTGCACTGCAGTAGAAACACGCGCTCCGCATACTTGCACTGCCGCCGCGGTGCGCGTGATGTGTGGGGTTGCGTGAGTGAGTGAGTGAGTGATCGAGTGAGTTAGAGTGAGTGAGTGAGTGAGTGCATGTTGTTGAGTATTCTCTCTGTGTGTATGCGAGCGTGTGCTTTGGAACACCAAACATAGAGACAACGTAGAAATGATAAGAGAGAGAGAGAGAGTGTGTGTGTGTGTGTGTGCATGCAAGCACGAAACATCACATTGTTCACTGCAAAGTGGTCTACACACTTCTTGCTCGAGGAAACGGGCTTGGTGCACGTCCAGTGGAAAGCCGTCCAAAATACAAGAGCAGTTGGGTGGCAGCTGCACCGATGCAGCACAAACAACGCAAGGCAGGACCGAAATGAGAGGAAGCGTGAGGACAGCAGAGGTGGCGGCGAGGTGTGTGCACAAAAGCTGCTTGCAGGCAACGCAAACGAACGCAAGGAGGTACAGACACAGCAGATCGAAACACGCACACGCACACGCACACACACACACACACACAATCGACCTTTTTGAGTCGAGAGATGATGAGGTCCAAGATGACCTGTTTCGGCAGGACGCAGCCGTGGTTGATGAGCGATTCAATGGCCCGCCCCCGACCCGTCTCCGACAGCACCTCAAGTAGAATCAGCCGCTCAACCTGCGTGTGTGCGTGTGTGCGTGTGGTGTGGGAGCATGCAGGCGTGTAATTGTGACGCAGAGAGGGTAATTTGAAGCAACGTGAGAGCGCAGCAAGTTGGGAGCAACGTCACAAAGATGCACACAGAGTTCTCAAGCAACTGGTGTGAAAATACGTACGTCGATGCGTTCGAGGCCGTATTTCGAGGCGAGCTTCTTGCACATGAGCGTCTTGCCCGACGCGGGACCGCCTAGTGATGAGGGCGGGTGTGATGGTATTGATGTTGAGAGCCATGTCTTGGTCACAGCATTCACGTACTCCGTATATCAACGACAGGACATGCACACAGACACACACAGACAAACACAAACACAGACATGCACATATGTGAACACACACAGACCGCACACGCACGCACACACACACACACACACACACACACACACACACACACACACACACACACACACACAAACACACCGAGCACGATGTAGAGCTTGAGGCCACGTGGAAGCTGGAGGTGCTTGAAGCCCAAGGCGACGGCCTGGCCCCATTCCTGGAGAATGGCAGCCCGTGCAGTGTAATCCAGGTCCTTCTGCAGCACAGCGTCGAGCAGTTGCGCCTGGTAGCGCAGCCGGCGATCTTGTGTGCGCCCGAGCAGGCAGTAAACAAACTAAAACCGCAAGCCAGAGAGAGAAAAAAAAAACAGGTTTGCAGCGGAGCGATAGCATGCAACGGGAGACAGAGTAGCGTTGTTTGTGAGTGCAGTGCAATGGGCCACGTGAGAGGACGAAAGAGACGACCATGAATGGCAGCGGCAGCAATAGCAACAGACAAATCCAGCGAGACGCACCTCTGCTGGGCCAATGTGACCCGTTCCGCGAATATCCATCCGGGAGAGGCTCTTGCGAGTGACGTTGTGCACCAACCTGGTGTGCGTGCAGGAGCAAGGTAAGCGTGGGCAACTCAGTCAATGGCACACACCGACGTCACACACGCACTGCTTGCAGGCACCTCGACGCAACATGCAGGTTCACCCCCACGCGCATGAAACAACATAACACACACCACACACACACACACACACACACACACACACACACACACACACACACACATACACACATACACACACATACACACACACACAAGACAACGTACCCACACAACAACACACACAACGTACCCACACAACACACCTTGTGACGAGAACAATGGCGACGTTGATGAGGTAGGAGTAGACGGAAAGGGCCAGGAAGATGCCAAAGACTTGCAGGATCAGCGGTACGGGGTGGTCGCGGTATGTCTGGTTCAACGGGAAGAGGTGCGGGTGTGGGTGGCGGGTGTGGGGGTTCGCATTACTGTCGGCGGTGGCAAGTAGACTGTGCAACCTGTGGTCATAGACACAGACACAGACACAGGCACAGGCACAGGCGCAGACACAAACACAAACACAAACACAAACACAGACACAAACACAGGCACAGGCACACGGACGCATTCACGCGCGCACGCACACATATGACGCACTCACCGGCACGAAATCGCCAAAACCAATGGTAGTCATGGTAATGAAGACAAAGTAAAACGACTCAAAGTATGTCCATGTTTCCCTGTAAGTTTGTTTGAGACGAAACACAAGTGATGGCAACGCGTGAGACGGAGAACGAGAGCACGCGAGCTCAACCCGGTCGAAACAATCCCAAACTCATCTCAACGCGCATAACATAGGTGCAGTCACCATCACAGAACACACACACACACACACAAACACACACACACACACAGCGCACACACAAACACATGCACACGCACACACAACACACACACAACGCACACACAAACACACGCACACAGCTTCAACGATGCTTACGTGTAAGTGAATGCGATGGCAAATACGGATATGAGTAGCGCGGCGATGAAGAGCGCAACAAACATGGGCAGCACCACAGAGTCGCTCTGCAGCTGCTTGCGTTTGTACTCGCTCCCTTCTCGTAAGCTACAGGGGCGGTGGTGTGATAACCGTGTAAAGGGAAAGGGAAGGAGATGAGAAAGAGATGAGGGGTGATGAGATGCAGCGGGACAGAGGAGGAACGTGAAGCAGTTCATACACACACCCGTTTACACACACACACACATAGTCGTTCACGCACACATATATAGACGCACACACAGACACACACACAGACACAGACACACACACGCACACACAACGCGCCAACCTTGATATTCTGAAGCCGATAATGTCCATCATCTTGCGCCCCAGGTATGCGAACATGTAAAAGACGAGGGGGATCCCAATGACGGAATACAGGATGCAGAACACGCGCCCGCCCACTGTCTTGGGTGCAATCCAGCCGTAACCTGTCCGGCCATAGAGCCATGAGCACAACCACAAGCACCCGCAAAATCAGCCGCAGCCGTGCAAGAGAAAGTCGTGAGTGAACAACACATGTGGCATCAGCAGCAGCAGCGGGTTGCGCGAAGAGCCATGACAGTACATGGACCGGCAATGTACTGCACATCATCATCATCATCATCATCATCATCATCGTCTTCCTCACCCTCCTTGCTCTCTTCACCCTCCTCGTCCACCCCCTTTCTGCTCATCCTGCTCATCTTTTGCATCCTCCGCGTCCAAATCATCATCATCATCGTGCACAAGCAGAAATGCGCGCGCACCGATGGTGGTGACGGCTGTGGTGGCAAAATATGTGGCGCCGACGAATGACCAGTCTGTTTTGCCGATGTTGACGGCGGTTGATCGGAGTTCGTCCAAGGTGTCCAACAGGTTCATGAGGACTTGCGTTTGGTTGGTTGTGAAGTTGCCATCTGCGATGGCATTGTCAATGGCGCCCAAATACTGTGTGCGTGTACGTGGGAAGCGGGGGGGGGGGGAGACTGTGAGCTTGCCCACCCATGCGCTGGTTACCCGCTGCTCCACGCAAAACACACACACACACACCTGTAACACAAGCACACGCACGCGCGCACACACACACACACACACACACGCACACACGCACGCGCACGCACACACACACACACACACACACACACACACACAAAACAGCACCACCAGCAACCACACACACGCACACACACACACACGCACACGCACACACACACACACACAAAACAGCACCACCAGCAGCCACACACAGCAGCAGCACCACCACCACCACTACCAGCAGCAGCGAGGACAACAACCTAACAACTACACGCACGCATACGCATGCGAATGCATGGCACCGTACCTGACGCTCTGCGGAGAGCTCCTCGCCCTTTTCCAGGTGGGAAAAGACAGCTCCTCCAATGAGAAGGTAGGACCAGCCAACCAAAAAGAGGCACAGGATCTTTGTAGGGAACTGCCAGCACGTGTGGACCTTCTCCTCATCGTCGACGTGCTGGTTCAGCGCAGCGATGCTAATCATTGCCTCAGGTTGGTCCTCAAGCACATCCAGGCACAGGGAGTAGGTGCTCCACCTTCAAGTTGATGATCTGCGAGCAGGCTGCACGCAGTTGGAGTTGCCTGCAGGCAACCTCGTTGGTTTGTGGGGGGTACTTTGCCACCCCCTCGCCTCACTCGTGTGCTGCTGGAGCTGGTTCCTCCCTTGGTCGACCACCGAAGCCATCCACCGCCAACACGCACACACTCAAAAAGGACAAACAACAATGGCGGGCTGGGTGACGCTCTCGGATGGGTTGGTTGGTTGGTGAGGGGTGGAAACAACAAACGACGTTCGTTGTTGATGTTTGCGGCTGACCAAGATTTTGACCTTCTTCGGTTTTGCTTTCTTGCTTGGGGCAGCAGCGAAACAAAAAAAAAAAAATTGGGGGCGGCGGCCGATTTCGGGCTTTTTCGACACCACAAGGTGTAGCGAACACAGCGTGCTGCCAAGGTGAGAAATTAGGTGGGTGTCGTTCGCGTATTTTCCTACCCACAAGCAACAAAGCAAAGGAGCAGTTTGCGCGCGAACGAGAGCGAGAGCCAAGAAGCAGAAGAAGCAAACAGACCGAGGTTCGCTTTCACACATCTCATCATTGTCTTCATCAGCCAGCCCACAGGAGCACGTTGGTTGGTTGGTTGGTTGGTTGGCGCGAACGAGCGACACAACACAAAGAAGGTGCGGTCGCAATCGTGGTTGTGGTTGTGGTGGCGATAGTAGTGGTGGTGGTGGTGGTGGTGGTGAAGATGACATGTTGGAGCACAATGTCCTCCTGTCATCATCAACAAACAACACAATGCACGTTGTTGTTGTGCCTGAAAAAAAAAAAAACTGTCACTGACACACTCTCGAATCGCGAAATCGTCCTCCTCACTGCGCATCCACCGCAAACAACACCCACCCACACGTGTACATCACGTCCCCCCCTCCACACACACACTCACATACACGCACACACACACTCTCTCTCGCTGTGGTGGACCACACACGTCAGGTCAGGCATGAGCGCCATCAACAACAACAACAACAACGATGGCAGCCACAGCACCAGCACGGACAATGGCAGCAGCCGTGCAAGCACCAACGGCACAAACATCCTTGGCGGGCTTCCACCTGGGTTTTTGGTCAATGACTTGGATGCCGTGATTCGTGAGCGCAAAGCCGTGTTCCAACGCCGAACACAGGTGGCACGCATGCTGACCCTCTGTCACAAACAGCTGACGCCTTCCCAACACGCAAAGCTGACACAGGTGTGTTGTTGTTTTTTGTGCCTTGTGTTTGATGGTGTGCGCGTGTGCGTGAGAGTGTGCGTGTGCGTGAGAGTGTGTGCGCGCGTGTGTGTGCCTGTGCCTGTGCCTGTGCCTGTGCGTGAGAGTGTACCTGTGCCTGTGCCTGTGAGTAGTGCGTGTGAGCAGTGTTTACGCGCCAAAGCTCAGTCATCCAGTACTTACTGTTCGCCCCGCTCAACACACCCACACCCACGCACGTGTGCACCAACTCACGCACATGCATACCCGCATGCACGCACGCGCGCCGACACTGCGCTGTTTCAGTATCTTGCAAAAGCTGGGGATGCCACGAGTGACGAGGAGCAACGCAGGTTGCGTTTTCTGCAACGGCTCACACAGCTGCCTATCGTCGGTGCAGCCGTAGCACCGAGCGCGGCAACCACAAAATCAGCCGCCCAAAACGACCCACTCGCACAACAACAGCCAGAACAAAGGCCCGCGTCCGCCAACGGAGAGCCAACTGCCGTGGACACAGCAGCTACGGCCCCTGCAAAGGAAGCAGTACAAGCGCCAGCAGCTACCGCCAACAGCAACGCCAGTGGGCCAGTTTCAGAGCAAGCAGACACCCAAGAGCCCGCAGGGTCCGGCACCGACAACACTTTGACCTCTCAGCAGCCACCTTCTGTAACACCAACACCCGACGCCGACGACAACATCGACGCCGACAGCAGCAGCAGCAGCAGCAGCAGCAGCAACAATAACAGCAACAACAATGGGGCGAAGCGTGTGGATGGGCCAGCCAAGGAGGAACAGCTTGGGAAGGTGGGTGAGGGCGAAGGTGGTGCCTTCAGCAGCCAGGAAGAACAGAGCCAGGCATCAACCGCCTCAACATCGCCGCCACAGGATGGCGACGAAGAGCGAGAGGGGAAGGAGGGCGAGGAGAACAAGGCAGCGCTGAAGGCACCTTTGGTTGGTGGCGAAGACGAAGAGGGAAACGCCAAACTGGAGAAGATGACCAAGGAGGCAGACACAACGCAGCAGGAGAGCAGAGGGCAGACAGACCAGGCACAAGAAGAGGAAGGAAGGAAGTGCGAAGAAGAGAACGAGGAAGAGCGAACGGAAGGAAGTGAGGAGAAGGAGAACGAAGACACTGAGGCGGACAAGAATGAGGAGAAGAACGGCAGTGATCAGGAGAAGAGCGAGAAGGAAGGCGGAGACACGGAGACAGCGCCAACCAAGCAATCGACATCACGCCAAGAAGACACAGATTCAGACACTGGCAACGCTCTTCCGCATGCCGACACGAAGGGCGCTGAAGATTCGGTCATGGACACCAGACCAGACGTCTCACCGTCATCGGCAGCAACAGCAACAGATGTTGGTGCCACCACGGAAACTACAACACCACCCATCAGCACACCAACTGCCAGTGCCACTCCTGCTGCTCAGGAGCTGCGAGAAGAAGAGGAGGTGGTGAACGATGCCGTATTGGAGGACATCAAGCGCCAGTGTGCGCGGTATCGCTTGCTTGCACGCAACTTTGTTTACAACGACCCAGCCAAGCGCGAGAAGCAGAGTTTGGTAAGTTTGTGGTTGTGAGTTTGTGGTTGTGTGTGTGTGTGTGGTTTTGTGTGTTTGTGTGTGTGTGTGTGTTTGTGTGTGTGTGTGTGTGTTTGTGTTTGTGTTTGTGTTTGTGTGTGTGTGTGTGTGTGTGTGTGTCCTTGTTGGCTGTTTGTTGTGCCATCCATGTCAACGTTGCCGGGTGTTGCTTCACTTCTTTTTTGTCTGCTTCATTCTTCTAACTGCTTCAATTCTCCCCCTCCCTTGTCTTGTTGCCATCCAGGCCAAGTTGAAGGAGCCGCTCACCACCAGCTTTGCGCGCCACATGTATGCGCACATCAAATCGCGGGAGTTTCGCGTGGCGAGCCGCATCTCGTACCGCATCAACGAGCTGCAGACGCTGCCCACCTCTCTCAACGCCGCCAGCAGGTGCGCCGCCTTGAAGGAACTCCTCGCCCTCAGGCTCAAGGACGTCCAGGCCAAGGTGGGTCCGTTGCGCGCGTGCCCGTGTGTATGTGTATGTGTTTGTGTATGTGTTTGTATGTATGTGTGTGTGTAATGCATCGCTACAATGTGAAAGTTGAGTCTGTGTTCGTGCTTGTTCGTGTTCATGAATCCTCGTCAGCGACTGACTCAATCGTCTCTCGTCTCTTCGACCCCCCACCCCAATCAAAACTAATTATGCACACATGCGCGTCCACAGGTTCGCGAACAGGTGCTTACTGCAGCGCGCGGGACCACGAGTGGGCTGACCTGCTATCGGCGCCAGGCACTTCGCGTCATCCGGCCCCTCAGCGTCCGCGACGTGAGTGCACAGAGAAGCAGATGGGGGGTGGGAGGGGGCGGTATATGTGGGAAAGAGAGAGTGTGTGTTTTATTGTGTGTGCGTGTTTGCAACAAGGGGAGAGGGCTGGCCTTTTGGGGTCTCACGCACATATGCACGCACACACACACACACACATACACACACATACACACACACGCACGCACACACACACACACACACACACACACACACACACACACACACACACACACACACACACACACACACACACACACACACACACACACGACCAGGCACTTTCATCTGCAAGCGCGACGGCGCACGAAGAAGTTGTGTCGTGCTGTCATGACGTATCACACGCAGCTTGAGAAGCGCAAGCAACAGGAGCAAGAACGCCTGGAGAAGGAGCGCTTGAAACTCCTCATGGTGCGTCATGCCCGTGCACATTTCGTGCCGTGGTGGATTCCTTCTGACAAACGCGCTGTTGAGAGTTTTGATTCGTGTGCACGACGAGAGCGAAGCGACATGTTCTCCCCCAGTTCTTTGTCCACACGCACGCGCGCGCGCGCACACACACACACACACATGCAGCTGCTGACTCTCTCGTGCATTTTCCTTGTTGGTGCTGTTTTTCTTGATTGTTGGTGCAGGCACAAGACACAGAAGGGTACAAGAAGCTGTTGGATGAGAAGAAGGACACGCGAAAGACATATCTGCTCAACAAGATTGAAGAGCGCATGCAGATTATGAGTGACAAGATCCAAACCCACCAGAAAGCAGAGAAGGTCTTGGAACTCAAGCTGAAGCGCCAACAGGTAGAATGCTCGTGCGGTGGGCTTGCATTGTCCTCATACACACGCACACATGACAAGCAGCGTATGTACTTCTCTCACATCATGCTCGCACACGCGCACACACGCACAGAGGGCTGAGCTGCGCATGCTGGAGAAGGAAAAGGCGGCACGGCAGGCGCAGGCGGGCGAGGGAGAAGAGACGGAAGGCGGAGAGGAAGGGGCAGGGGAGGAAGAAGAGGAGGAAGAGGAGGAAGAGGCCTCGCTTGGATTCGATGCACACGCCGTGAAGGAAACGATTGAGCAGCAGCCGTACATGCTGGTGGGCGGAACCCTCAAACCGTACCAGATGGTTGGCTTGGAGTGGCTCGTGTCGCTGTACAACAACCGCCTCAACGGCATCCTTGCTGACGAGATGGGTCTTGGCAAGACCATTCAGACCATTGCCCTCCTCACCTACCTCGCCGAGAAGAAGAATAACTTTGGGCCGTTTCTCATCATCGTACCCCTCGCCACCCTCTCAAACTGGACGCTCGAATTCGAAAAGTGCGTCCTGAGTGTTTGTGGGCGTTGGGGGGGGGGGGTTGCTACTGCTTGTGCTTGCACATGGTGTGTCCACGTCACCTTATTGGCCCACCAGCTCACACACACACACACACACACACACACACACACACACACACACAACTTTGCTGCAGGTGGGCACCTACCTTTGACACCATCACGTACAAGGGCACAAAGCACGAGCGACGCGCATATGCGCACCGCATCTTGGAGGGCCGCTTCAACGTCCTCGTCACCACCTATGAAATGATCTTGCGCGAGCGTTCCGTCCTGTCAAAGGTTCGTCCGTGTGTGTGTGTGTGTGTGTGTGTGTGTGTGTGTGTGTGTGTGTGTGTGTGTGTGTGTGTGTGTGTGTGTGTGTGTGTGTGTGTGTGTGTGTGGTCGTGTGGGTGTCGAAATTGCACACCTCTGGGTCGCCACCTCCAGCTTAATCGGTGCTCACGCTTGCTGTGTTGCGTCTGCATCTGTAGGTGCAGTGGCAATACCTCGTGGTTGACGAGGGCCACCGCATGAAGAATGCTCAGAACAAGCTCAGCCGCACGCTTGTTGAGTACTTCACCTCCACACGCCGCCTGCTGCTCACAGGAACACCGCTGCAGAACAACCTGCCGGAGCTGTGGGCGCTCCTCAACTTTCTCCTTCCAGACGTCTTCAACTCCAGCGAGACCTTTGACTCGGTGTGTGTGTGTGTGCGTGTGTGTGTGTGTCTGTTCGCAAGATTACATCACGTAACTTTAGGCCTTGCATGGGGTACCTTGCCGTACGTCCTCTCACGCCATTCTAATTCATTCTATCGTGCTGGTTTTGCTTTGCGCGACAGTGGTTCAATGCGCCGTTTGCGGGCACGGGCGAAAACATGCAACTTGATGCAGAGGAGAAGCATCTGATTATTCTTCAGCTGCACAAAATCCTGCGCCCATTCCTCCTTCGCCGCCTCAAAAAGGAAGTGGAGACCCAACTCCCAGACAAGGTGTGTGTGTGTGTGTGTGTGTTTTCGTGTGTGTGTGGTGTGTGTGTGTTTTCATGTGTGAGCGTTAGATGCGATCCTATTGCTGCTGGTGCTTTTGCTTGTGCTTCTGCTGCTGATTGTGCTGTGTTGAGGCAATCTGCTGCTTCTCGTGCTTATGCTCGTCTTCTTGGTTCCTCCGCCATCTCACTCACGATGTTACTGAAACCAACCCTGCACGATTCGTACCACCCAGGTTGAGTATGTGCTTCGGTGTGACATGTCGGCGCTGCAGCGGAAGGTGTATGCGCTGCTGCAGAAGTACGGCGTCACGCTGCCCGTGGAGCCGGACGAGACCAAGAAGGTGTTTGCGCTCCAGGACGCGTCGTCCGTCAACAAGTTGCGCAACATGATCATGCAGCTGCGCAAGCTGTGCTGTCACCCGTTCCTCTTTGAGGAGGTGGAGAGGGCGTACCTTGAGCACGCTGCGGCCGAGATGGGCATGGACAAGGCGGCCCTCACCAACGGACCGGAGTTGTGGCGCGCGTGCGGCAAGTTTGAACTGCTTGACCGAATGCTGCCCAAGCTTCGCGCTGGCAGACACCGCACCCTCATCTTCAGCCAGTTTACGTCCCTGCTCACCGTGCTTGAGGACTACTTTGCCGCAAAGGGCATCAAGTACCTGCGCATGGATGGTTCGTGCCTTGCGTTTGTATGCTTGTGGTTGTGTGTGTGCGTGCGTGCGTGTGTGTGTGTGCGTGTGTGTGTGTGTGTGTGTGTGTGTGTGCGTGTGCCTTGTCTTCGTGTTGTGTCAGTGTGTGTGTGCGTGTGTGCTTGGTGTCACTTTGTCACTTGAATTTCGTTTTGTCTTGTGTGCTCCGCTGACGTGACTGTGTTGTGCTTCAGCAATTCAACCTTGCACTCTCCTCTTCACTCTGTCTTGATTTGTTTGGCAATGACAACAGGCAGCACATCTGCTGACGACCGCGCTGAGTTGCTGCGCCTCTTCAACGCCCCGGATTCCGAATACGAGATTTTCATCCTCAGGTGCGCCGTGAACGCACACATGTGGTGGATCACTTGTTGCTCGTTTGTGTGCACGCTTGGTTCACACGACGGTGTGTCCCCCATACCACATATGCAAACACACACACACACACACACACACACACACACACACACAAGTTGGCGTTGGCGCTCACACCATGCTCGTATGTTTGCACTGCTTCGCGTGACAGCACGCGCGCCGGTGGTCTCGGCCTCAACCTGCAGACGGCAGACACAGTGATCATCTACGACAGCGACTGGAACCCACACCAGGACCTGCAGGCCCAAGACCGCGCCCACCGCATTGGGCAGACGCGCGAGGTGCGTGTGTTCCGGCTTGTCACCGTCAACAGCGTGGAGGAGCGCATTCTGGAGCGCGCAAAGTACAAGTTGGACGTGGACCAGAAGGTGATCCAGGCCGGCAAGTTCAACCGCAGCTCCACGGAGACGGATTCGCGCGCGTATCTCATGGCTATTCTCTCTGAGGTGGCGGAGGAGGGCGATGGGACAGACGCCCTGGACAACGACGAGCTGAACCAAATGCTTGCCCGCAGCGATGAGGAGCTCACCATGTTCGAGGTCGGTTCAATGATGCGATGCAAGAAGGGAAGTGGTTTTTTTTTTTTTTTTTTTTGGGGGGGGGGGGGGTGGTTGTGTGTTGATGAGAGAGCACAGTGAGTCAGGCGTGCGATTGGGCGGTGCATTTTGGTGTGCGAATCATACTTTCCTTTGTGTGAACACGACAACCTTGTCGCTTTTGTGGTCGGCTGTAATCAATATGGGGAGCCATGCCTTGACAGCCATCTCACCATGTTCTCCTGCGATTTGAAATTGGATAGGACATTGATGCGCAGCAGGACATGAAGGATGCCATTTGGAAGAACTCGTTCAGAAAGGTGTGGTTTCGCTTGTGTGTGTGTGTATGTGTTTGTGTGTGTATGTGTTTGTGTCTGTGAGTGTGTAGTGCATGTGTGTGTCTGAATGACGGAGAGCGGCCTTCTAGAGCGTGTGCATTCACATTGTTGCTTCGTGTGTGCGCGCGTGTGTGTGTGGTTTTTTTTTTTTCCAGGCGCGCCTGGTCCAACCGTCAGAGCTGCCTGACACGATTGCCAACGGCGACGCAAAGGTGGGCAGCACCATTGCATGCGCTGTCTGATTGCATGGTCGTGCACCACCTGAGCTCTCCTTGCGTCGCTTGCATGCACACACACACACTCACTTACTCACACACACACACACACATTCGCACGCACGCACACACGCACGCACACACACACACGCACGTCAGATGCATGAGGTGATGACTCGGCCTGTGGAGCCAGAAGCGTTTGGACGCGGGAGTCGCGCTCGCAAGCAAATCTCGTACGCCGACGAGCTGACAGATCTCGAATTCGCTCAGGTGCGTAAACAGGCACCGGTGTTTGGAGGAGGGGAAGGGTTGGATGAACGTGTTGGGTTGGGCTGTTACGCGGTCTGGCTGTTTCATTGCCATGTGCTCTGATTGATGCTGCAACTCGACGCAACCTGCCTTTCTCCACGCACACACACACATGTGCAGGCTGTGGAATCGGGTGACATTGAAGCGTTTATTCAGCGCAAGCGGGAGCGGAAGGAGAAGATGCGGGCAGCGCGCCAGGGCGGCAAGGGTGGGAAGAAACGTGAGGAAGAGGAGGAGGAGGAAGAGGAAGAGCCAAGGACGCCGAAGCGATCAAGTATGCCAATCAGTCGTGTGTGTGTGTGTGTGTGTGTGTGTGTGTGTGTGTGTGTGTGTGTGTGTGTGTGTGTGTGTGTGTGTGTGTGTGTGTGTGTTCATCTTTGTGTACAGCTCCCCTCCCCGGCACTTTGCTACTCCTGCCTTTCTTGTTCTGATAAATTTGCTGTGCTGGTAATGTCCTTTTCAGGTCGTCGTTCTTCCAGAGCCGCGCCAAAGGTGAACACATACGCGTGCATGCTGCCGTGTGCAACACGTCCTCGATTTCGTTTGTGTTCGCCTGCACAAACACAAGCACATAATGAGTTCCTTCCCAAACTCTGACACGCGCACACATAAAAACGCACACCACACACACACACACACACACACACACACACACACACACACACACACACACACACACACACACACACACACACACTGTTGTGCAGTCGAGTGGGAAGCGCCGTCAGGGCGCGGCCACACCGACCAGCGCTCGCCGCAGCACACGCGCCAAACGCGACGACGCCGGTGAAAGTGTGCAGCCAGTGGAGGGCGAAGCTGAATGTAAGATATGGCATTGCGGTTTTGCTTTTTTTTTGTTGTTGTTTTAGTGCCACTGCGTTCTTTGTTTTATGTCGTGTGCCATGGTTTGTAGCCACTTTGTACTGCATGTCTGCGGATTGCACACGATGTTTTGTGCCGTCTCACGTGTTGGTTCATGCTTACTTTGACATGGCAGATGGTTTGATGACCAAGCTGTACGAGCACCTGACTGCCATGACGAACGAGTGAGTCTGTTGATCCTTGTTGTCTCATGTGCTGATGTGACATGTTCCCGTTTTGCGGCACCGAAGTGTGAGCCGCGTCGGGCGCACGCTGCTCACAAGGGCTGGCACACAAGCTGCCCCATACACACTGTGGACTTACACGCACACCCACTCACACGCATTCACACACACACGCGCTCACACCCACACACATTCACACACACATATTCACACATACACCCACACACATTCATGCACACACTCACTCTCTCTTATGCAATCGCTGTGCAGCTCTGGCGAGTGCATTGCGGACACGTTCCGTGAGTTGCCGGATGAAGAGGAGGTGCCGGAGTACTACGAGATGACAAGCGAACCGCTCGACCTCAACGACATCAAGGTGCTGCTCCCATCATGCGGTTGCGTTCGCGTTTGGCTCGCCGCGCTGTGTTGCTCTTCTCTCTTGTTTTTCCCTTCCCCGTGCGTGCCCTCAGTCAGTGGCCTTGTTTTCTACGCGTCCTTTATTCGTCCCGCTGCTGTCTCTACGCACACGCTCACACTCAACCCACACATGCACACGCACCACGCACCACATTTGCACAGGACCGGGTGCGTTCTCGCGAGTACAAGTGTGTGCAAGACATGGAGGATGACGTGTTGCGCATGGCGCACAATGCCATCCAGTACTATGAGACCGGCTCCACAGAGTACAACAACGCCGTGTACCTAAAGGTGAGTTGTGTGCAAATCTGCACATGTGTTCGCGTGACGCATGCGTGTGCAGGTGGTGTGGATTGGCCTGTGTGCGTACGTCAGTGTGCCCTGTGCAAGCGTCTTGACAGCGTTTTTCTTTTCGCTCGGATGTGTTCTTAATTCACACACATGCATTCGCGCACGTGGCGCTCACGTTCCATCCTTGTTACTCCTCTTTCCCAACAACAACAACCTTGTTCCAACGGCTGCGCGCCTGACAGAACCACTTTGCGGAGCTGAAGAAGCGCGTGATGCCGAAGATGAAGCTAACGCTGCGGCTCAACGATGGGAGCAGCACGGAGACGAGTGCGGCCACAAGCGTGGCGTCGAGTGGCGCGACCACGCCCACACCACGTCGGGGCCGCAAGCGCACCGCTGCGGTTGCCACGCCCACACCGCGCCGGCGATCCACGAGAGCGAAGCGCGCCACTTCATCAACACCTGCCAGAGCCAGCAGCCGCCGCAGCAGCAGTCGCAGAGTGAGCTCGAGGGCGCAAAAACGCAAGCAGCAAGAAGAAGAAGAAGAGGACGAGGAAGAAGAGGACGAGGACGAGGAGGAAGAGGACGAGGCGGAGGAGGAGGAGGATGATGATGATGAGGATGATGATGATGATGATGATGATGATGATGATGATGATGATGATGACGATGATGATGATGATGATGATGATGACGAGGAGGAGGACGAGGAGGAGGAGGAGGAGGAGGAGGAGGAGGAGGAGGAGGAGGATGATGCTGCGAAGGAGATTGAGGCAGAGGAAGAGGAGGTGGTTCAAGCCTCGCGTAGCAGGAGCAGGAGCAGGAGAAGCAGCAGCCGCGCCAGCCGCCGTCGGCGGTAAAGCAGAGATTGCCCATGAAATATGTGTTGGCAAAGTCCGATTTTGCCACACATGGAACCCAACTGTGCGGGTTTTTGTGGAGCTGCGCTGAAGAGTTGTGAATATCGTCCAGTAAACTACGCGAACAGTATTTCGACAGCACAAACAGGGGTGAGCGCGAAACCAGCACCAAAAAAATTCGATTCGAATGAAAAACGCGCAAACCCACACACCAGCCAGCCCAGCTCAACGTCAGTCAGTCAGGCAAGCAAGACTCAAGGACGACGAAAGAAGAAGGGAGAGAAGAGAAGAGGGTGTGGCCGTGGAGCTACGCACATCAGTTTGTTGTTTATCGTTGTGCGTGTTCGGGTGCAGGTGTGGGTGCTTGCTTGCTTGCTTGCGCGCTCGCTCGATCATCCTGACGACCCAGCCAGCCAGCCAGCCAGCCAGCCAGCAAGGTGAGGCTTGAGCCAGCTGCTGCTGCTTGCTTGCTTGCTGCTTGGTGGTGTTGTTGACTGCGAAGAGGGAAGGGGATGGCAGGATGACGAACGAGGAGGAGGGAAGCGAGTAAGGTGGCGGTGGATGCATGGAAGGTGCATGCTGCAGTCGGACAGCACCAATGCAGGAATTTTGCTTGGTGCTGCGTGCGCCATCGTGCCCGCACGAGTCTGCCCTGCACAGCCTCATACAGCCTGCCCTCACACCTACGCATACGCACGCACGCACACGTACACACACACATGTGTCCTTGTGCTGTTCGTTTCACAGTTGGCGACAGCTGCTGCCCTTCGACACAGGCTACAGCTTCAGCAAGCAACAGCAGTGACATCCACCGTCGCTGGCGCGCTTTGTTTGACCCCTGCGCGTGGCGTGCCCTATTTTGGCTGTGACGCACGGGATCAGCGCAAGCTGTCATCATGGCGTTTGCATTGATCAAGAAGATGAAGCAGCCGGTCGGTGTGGGCGACATGGTGCTGCTGGATGAGGTGGACGAGGATCACATCGTCAAGAACTTGACAGAGCGTGTCCTCAAGGATGAGATCTATGTGAGTTGGAGCACAGGAGAAGAGAGTGGACGAGAGGGTTTGTGTGCGTGCGTGCGTGTGTGTGTGTGTGTGCGTGCGCGCGCGTGCGTGTGAGGGAGTGCGAGAGACAGTGTATGTGTGTGCGTGCGTGTGTGCGTGCGACTGCGAGTGCTTCTATCCTCCTCTGTGCTCTTGCCCCCTCTCACCCGCTCCTCTCCCGCTTCTCTCTGCCCCCATCAACGCTCCACCTAACGTTCCACTCTTCCACCCACCAGACGTACATTGGCAACGTGGTGATCAGCGTGAACCCGTACAAGCACCTGGACATTTACGACACAGAGTTTCTGCTCGAGTACGCTGGCAAGAACCAGTTTGAGCTGCCGCCGCACATCTACGCCATGGCAGACACGGCCTACCGGTCCATGAAGGAGGAGAACAAGGACCAGTGCGTGATCATCACGGGCGAGTCTGGTGCCGGCAAGACAGAGGCGTCGAAGATCATCATGCAGTATGTTGCTGCCGTCTGCGGCAAAGGAGCGGATGTGGACAAGGTGAAGGACCAGCTGCTCAAGTGCAACCCGGTGCTGGAGGCATTTGGCAACGCCAAGACGAACCGAAACGACAACTCGTCGCGCTTTGGCAAGTACATGGACATGCAGTTCAACTACAACGGCGATCCGATTGGTGGCGTCATCACAGACTACCTGCTTGAGAAGGTGAACACGGCCGCGCACGCACACATGGCGGTGGCGGCGCTGGTGAAGAAGCAGAAGTGGCAAAAGGAAGGATAGGATGGAAGAGTTGTTGTGGTGATGTGCACATGCAAGTTCGTGTGTGTGTGTGCATGTGTGTGCGTGTGTATGCGTTTGTGTGCGTGGAAAAGGGGGCACATGCGACCTATGGTCACTGGCTGGTGCAATCTGCAATGTGCTGTGACTCATTCAACCAACCAATCAACCAACCAACCAACCAACCAATCAACCACGCAGAGCCGTGTTGTGCACCAAACGGAAGGAGAACGCAACTTCCACATCTTCTACCAGCTGCTGTTTGGCGCAGACAACTCAGTGTTGGCGCCTCTCAAGCTGACGCGCAACGCATCCGACTACCACTACCTCAACCAGAGCTCCTGCAGCCGCGTTGATGGCATGGACGACAGCAAGGAGTGGCGCGATGTGCAGGTGTGTGTGCGTGGTGTGCTGCATCGTTTGCGTGTGTATGTATGCATGTCATGTGCACGTGTGCGTGCGTATGTGTGTGTGTGTGTGGATTCACATGGGACGATCGAGGTGTTGTGTTGGCGTGCAGTGCTGTGGTCGCCTGTTGACTTGTGTGTATGGGCGCAGTGCAAGTGAAGCCGTGAGAGAGAACGGCAAAGATGAGACTGGTGTTGTGGTGGAGGTGTTTGACTCACAATCAATAATGTAATATTCCACTTGCGTCCCTTTGCTGTGCACGTGTGTTTGTGTTTCGTGTGTGGCGTGCGCGTGTGTTTTGTCCTCAGGATGCGTTTCAAGTCCTTGGGCTGAGCGACCAAGACAAGCAACAGATTTATTCCCTCATCGCCCTCGTCCTACACATTGGAAACATCCAGTTTGAAGGTGTGTGTGTGTGCGTGTTGGAACTTATGTTGTCTCCGCCCTTGAACATTACATCTGCATAATTGCAAGCGCGTGCAAGTACACGCGCACCCGCCCAGTATCTCCTCACACCGGCACACACAATCCACAACCCACCACCGCCGCCGCCACCAAACACCACCAGGGTACGACCTTGCGAACGGCATGTACGCGTGTGCGCTGCAGAACAAAGATGCGTTGGCGACGGCGGCGGGCTTGCTCGGCTGCAGCGAAGACGCACTCGAGGAGGCGCTCACAAAACGCAACGTGAGCACGCGGCGGGAGGTGGTGCAGCTTGAACTGGATCACGACCAGGCGGAGAAGTCGCGTGACGCCATGTGCAAGGCCATCTACTCCCGCCTCTTCTCCTGGCTCGTCAAGCGCGTCAACCAAACCATCTCCGTAAGCAAATGAGCATGCGGACTTGTGTGTGTGTTGTGTGTGCGTGTGCCTGTGTGTGTGTGTGTGTGTTGTGTGTGCCTGTGTGTGTTGTGTGTTGTGTGCTGTGTGTTGTGTGTACCTGCGTGTGCGTCTGTGTGTGTTGTGTGTACCTGTGTGTGCCTCTGTGTGTGTTGTGTGTAGTGTGCTGTGTTGTATGTGTTTCCCCTCAGTATTTATGTCGCTTGTGTAACACCAAATTGCTTCCTCAACGCTTCCCCACCTCATCACCATCCAACACACCACACGACCATCACCTCCTCCCTCTCCCTCAGGTCAAGAACAGCCGCACGAAGCGCCGGACCATCGGTGTTCTCGACATTTACGGCTTTGAGATCTTCCAGGTGTGTGTATGTGTTTGTGTGTCCGTGTGTGTGACTGTGGGTGTCCGTGTGTGATTGAGTCATCAGTGTAATTTTGCGCTTCTTTGTTGACGTTCAGCACGTCGTCCACCTGCCGCTAACACACCACCACCACCACCACCACCACCACCACCACCACCACCATCATCGTCGTCGTCACCACCACCAGAACAACTCGTTTGAGCAGTTTATCATCAACTACTGCAACGAGAAGCTGCAGCAGATCTTCATTGAGCTCACGCTCAAGTCGGAACAGGACGAGTACGTGCGCGAGGGCATCCCGTGGACACATGTCGACTACTTCAACAACGCCGTCATCTGCGAGCTGATTGAAGGGCGCGGTTGCATCATGTCCGTGCTGGATGACATGTGTCTGCGGCCTGGTGACGTCACGGACAAGACGTTTTTGGAAACACTCAACCGCACGCCAAAGGTGATGCAACACAAGCACTACGAGTCGCGTGTGCAGCGCCAGTTCCTCTCTGACAACACGCTTGGGCGCGAGCAGTTCCGGCTGGTGCATTACGCGGGCAAGGTCACATATGACGTGGAGGGCTTCATCTCCAAGAACAAGGACTCCCTCTTTGCGGTGCGCTGCGCACGTGTGTGTGTGTGTGTGTGTGTGTGTGTGTGTGTGTGTGTGTGTGTGTGTGTGTGTGTGTGTGTGTGTGTGTGTGTGTGCTACGACCAACGTACCTGCTTGGCGTCTCTGCTTCTTCAATCTCAATCTCACAACAAACGTCCATGGACACAACCACTACCACCACCACAACAACAACAACA